AGTGCTGGGGAGGAGCCATCCAGAAAGGTCCACCAGAGTGGGCCAGTGAATTTTGTGAGTAGAACAGTACAATCTACCACAAACTACTTCCAGTGTGGAAAACTCTGGTAACAAAATTTATTAGGCCTCGGGAACAAGTGATTACTTACTAGGACAGGCCAAAATTCAGTCAAATATGCCAGTAAATATGTAATGCTTCTGGCCTTGTACTTTCCAAAGCATTGCAACTATTTAATTTAAAACTCAGAAGTAACTTCCAAGTATATTTCCATAAAATGGGATTCTATCTTTAAAAGAGAGGACTTTGGGTAAAGAAAATGTGTTACATATACGTGATGGAGTATTACACAGTCATAAAGAAGAACAAAATCATGGCCTTCTCAGCAACTTGGATGCAGTTGGAGACCATCACACTGAGTGAACTCTCACAGAAAGAAAGAACTGAATATCACATGTTCTCACTCATAAGTGGGCTCTGATCACTGGTTACATTACCACAAAGGTGGAATTGGCAATCACTGGGCACTGCCAGGGGAGCAAGGGGGAGAGGGGAGAGGGTGGGGGTGGGGAGGTCCATGACAACACAAAGGGCATCTGGTCCATTGCTAGGGAGAATGAGAACCACCTAAAAGCCCAAACTTCACCTGCATGCAGCATACTTTTGTAGTAAATCTTCACTTGTACCCCACAACTCTGTAATACATAAATTTCAAAGTAAAAAAGAAATTATAAATGGGTGATAAATATATATTAAATATATATAAATATATGCACACGTATATTGAAATGAGCTAAATCAGTTAATTTTATTAACTGATTAATGTTAATAAAATCCAATTGCTAGCAAAATAACAGTATGTACCAGCTTACTCCATTTTGTTTAAAACTCTCATCTTAGTTGCCTGCCTGACCTAAGAAGCACCCTCAATGCCTGCGTGTAAGTGCTGTGACGTCCCCAGGACCACAGACCCCCAGCTTTGTCCCCTTTGGGCAGGTCGTTCTGACCGTTTCCTGCTGACCATTGCAAAACTCCTTAGCCATAAGTTCCATGTCATGGTAGGCTTGTTAACTGACATCAAATGTTACGCTTTGCAAAACCCCATTGTCACATTTTGATAGTTTGTTCTTATATTCTGTTAGTGACCTAACCAAGGTCACTCCATTGTGTCATGATTCTTCTACCTCGTCTCTATGTAACTACCTTAAACTATATCTTAATAGCAGAACTCCAGGGACTTTTCAGGCACTGGCTATACGTAGGACATGAAATTAATCAAAACTCCCTAACAATCAAAAGTTCCCATTTGGGTTGCCAAGTTGTTAGTAATAGTTACTATGATCACTAAGTTGCTATGTAGCCAACACTGCAAGTTTTACCTATAAAAACTTGTCACAAACTGCACTAGTTTTTGAAGAGATTTCCTGGCATTTGCCTGCTCTTGGCCCACGCATTAATAAAAGAACTCATAATTAATTAGACTCAGCTTGCTGGCGTGATTTCTTCTCCCTTAGTCATACAACATACATACATTAAAAAAAATAAAGGGCAGACTTTCTCCCTGGATCAGTTTTTCAAATATTAGCAGTACCTGAGTCATTTACCTTTCCAACTGAACTTCTAAGGCGGCTTTGGGAGTTAGACTTTTTTTTTTTTTTTTTAATTTAGCCAATAAGAAATTTATTTGGCTCACGGTTGTGGAGAGTGGTAAGTCCAAGGCTGTGGGCCACATCTGATGACGCCTTCTTGCTACTCATACCGTGGGAGGGAAAACAGCCAAAGTCTCTCATTTATCGGGAATTTATGAGCTTACTTCCCTAATAGCAATATTAATCCACTTGAGAGAACAGAAGGAAATCGGTTTTATAAGCCAAAGATTGATAAAATTGAATATCCAGAATCACTCTTTTATTTAAAAGAGCAAAACTGTGAAATCATGCGTCTGGACAGCCTCTGATCACACCGGACTACTTTGCTCGGGATGCCACAACAGAGGACCACCTGCTGGGCCGCTGACATGACAGAATTGTCTCACAGTTCCAGAGGCCAGAAGCCAAAGGTCAAAATATCAGAAGGCTTGGTTTCTTCTGAGGGCTGTGAGGGAGAATCTCTAGATGTTTCTCTTCTGGCTGCTGATAGTTGGCTGGCAATCTTTGGTGTTCCTTGGCTTGTAGATCTCCGCCTTTATCTTCACATGGCACTTTCTCTGTGTGCCGGCCTGTGTTCAGATTTCCTCTTTTTATGATTTTATCTTAACTAATTAAATGGAAACAATTCTAGTTCCAAATTGATGTCACATTCTGAGGTGTGAGGGGTTGCAATTTTAGGATGTGAATTTTGGAGGGGATGAAACTCGGCCCCAAGAAGGAGCTTTGCAGATAAGCATCTCACTAGAATGCAGGTCAGTGATGATATCTTTGTCAGTGTTATTTGCTTTGATGCAGGAGGACCTTCTCAGAGACCACGGGAAGGCTGGGAAGCTTAAGCTTTTGATTATAAATCCATGGCAAATGTAGACTGGTGAGAGTTTTGATAAATTCAATGAAATTTTTCCATAAAAATAGTGCATGATGAGATTTATACTTTGAGAAGATAGAATGATGGACTTTGGCCTATTTCTTCTTGTACATACAACGGAAACCCCTGGATATCACATTAAACTGAGATAAAATGACTCAGAATGGTGAAGAGCTAGAAAGCTGACTAACCAGGGACCTTGAAGCCCCAGGAACAGCATGGTGTTTTTTTCTCATGGAACACAAACTTGAAGATGAAGAAGCCAGAAACCCGGAAACGTCAACAGGCATACACACACAAAGTCCCAATAAAGCCTTAGTGTCCCTAGACAACGGGGCCAGGAAAGGGTAAGCCTAGCAAGACAGATAACATGGACACAATAAGAGCCACCCCCCTAGCTAAACACCAAGGAGAAAATGGTGGGTCCCGCCTCTAGCAGCACCAGCAAAGGCTCAGTGAGGAGGTGTTTTCTCCCTCTCGGACTGTATTGAGGCCCCTAACTGCCCCATGAGTCTGCTGTCAGAAACAGCCAAGTCAGGAACCAGGGTTTTCTTTTCTGCCAGATGGTGGCACTCAACGGCAGGAGGTTGCATTGGAGCTGGGACTTCCATTCTCACCCAGCAATAATGAGGCACCCCTGCTATTCTTTGCTAGGTGGTTTCAGAGGACGCCTAGTAGAGACTCCAGACTTTCTTTGCTTCCCAGTGGTCATGATGAGACCACTCTTTTCCCTCCCTATCCTAAGGAGCACGGAGGCCATGTGGGAAGTAGTAACACAGAGCCTACACTTTCCATCCAGGGAGGTATAAGTAAAGGACCCACCAGGGCTAGAACTCCCAACTCCACCCGGCAGTAATGAGCAGAAGCTCCTTCTGTGTCACCAGAGGCCAAGTAGAAAACCTGGACTTCTACTCTCACATGGCAGTAACAAACTAGTTTCCCTTCTCTGATCCCAGAGGAATTTCAGAGGACAACACCTACAGCAGAAGGTTTAAATAAGATCTAAAGTCATGTAACACTCAAATGATAGAGATGTTACAATGATCTGATAAAGATTTTAAAGCAGACATAAAAATGCTTCAAAAAGCAATTTCAAACACACTAGAACAGGTGAAAAGTAGAAAGTTTTATCAAAATAATAAGACACAAACAAGAACAGATGGAAATGTTAGAACTGAAAGCTACAATAACAACAAAAGTCAGTGCATGGGCTCAACAGTGGAATAAAGAAGAAAGAGGAGACAGTCAGTGAATTGGGAGATAGAAGACTGAAGACTACACAACTGAACAACAGAGAGGACGCACACACACAAAAGGAGCAGAGCCTCAAAGACGTGGGATTATAACAAAAACTTCAGACATTTGTGTCATCAGAGTCTTAGAGGGAAAGAGGAGAGAACCCGCTAACACAGTGTAGGTCACATTTTTGAAACACTGACCTGCTTGTGACCCCCTGGCTTTGACACTGAAAAGCCTTTTCCCCACTTGTTCTTCTGAATATCTTAGTCATCTTTCACAGTTCAAATGCTTTCTCCTGCAAAAGGTGTATTAGTTTGTTCAGGAGCCATAACAAACTACCACAAATGGGTGGCTTAAACCACAGACATTTATTTTCTCATATCATAGCTCTAGAAGCTGGAAGTCCAAGATCAAGGTGTTAGAAGGGCTGGTTTATTCTGAGAGCTCTGCTGTTGGCTTGCAAATGGCTGCTCTCTCACTGTGTCCTCACGTGAACTTTCCTCTGTGAGCTCTCCTGGCGATGCCTCCCTTTTTGTAAGGACGCTTGCGATTGGATTCGATCATGAATCCCACCCTCTTGACCTCATCTAACCATAAATACCGCCTTGGAGACCCCATCTATAAATGCAGTCCTATTGGGGATTAGGCCTTCAACCTGTAAGTTTTGGGGATCACAGTTCGGTTGACCATTTAAGGCCTCTCCTCATTCCCCAAGGTGGAACTGGGTCTGGCCTACCTTCTGTACTCCAATGCTTCCTACAAACCCTCATTATCGAATTGGCTCACAGCTCTGGCTGGTTGGTTTGTCTTTCTACCAAATCCTCAGCTGCCTGAGACCCTGGGTTGCTTGCTTTCATCTGGAAACAATAAATATTTGTCAAATGCTAATTTGACAAGACATGAATAAAATATTGACTAGTCGAATTAATATTTATGCTTCTGGAGGAGATTTTCCAAATATGTAGCTTCACTCATTTGGTGTTAATTTCACTTCCTTTAGAAATGAACTGGGTCGCACGGTAGGTCTGTTTTCAATATTCTTCCACACGTAAGAAACTTTGTTAGTTTAGAACCTGGATGATGCACCTTCATTAAGTTTTGGGGGAGAAAAATTATGTGGACTTTGAAGTTCCTTTTGCCTCCTAGGTGCTTATAGAATGGAGCATTTCATCAAACCACGTTATTGATCGGCTTGGTTGCTGACCGCTTCACTTCCCACCCTTCATTTCTTCCTCTCCTTTCTCAGATAAACAAGCTGGAGGCACGCCTGAGGCAGGCCGGATACACAGATGATAAAGGGATTCAAAGGAAGGATGAGGAGTGCTGAATGAAAGAAGACTGCGTTAACTGTGTCTGTGAGGTTTGTGCTGTGGGAAGTTTTTTCCTCTGCCTCCTCCTGTTTTACTTTTTCTAGGCAGCCGGTTAGTTGAAACATACCCAAAAAATTCAAAAAGGGAAAAAAATACACTTTTTGTAAATAGAATCTAGGCATATTTTTAAGATCAAGGTACTGGTGAGATTTTGAGGCGTCTGATTATTGATAAAAAGATAGCTTTGAACAAATGAGCACTTGCCAGAGACCATGGGCTTTTTTTACATGTTTGCTAACAGATGAGGGGACTGAGGCACAGGAGGTTTGTGTCACTTGCCCAAGGTCATACAGGTAAACTGAGGTAGACTGAGACTTGAGTTACTCTCATGATTCTCCAGTCTGGTCCATTACAGATGTCACCTGAAGGCTCTTGGCAAATTGCACAATTCTATGGAAATATAAAAACGTGTTTTCATGGTGCCCACCAAAACAACAACAAAAAATAAAAACAATCAGTTATCTGTTATTGAGTTTGCTTTCTGAGCAGAGCTGATCCGCACCATGGAAACGTGAACTTTTTTACATGTACCATGGGGAATGTTTTATAGGGTAGCGCTTCTAGTCTTACTCTTCATGCTGCCAATGTGTAGAAAGAAAGATAGAATAGAAACTACATGCAAAAATGAGCTCACAACATGAGCAATTTATATTATATTGAGACAGCTAGCCTATCAGATGATGTAATTTGCTGCCTTATTTTGCTCTAAGAAACATGAGCGTGATGTGTGAATGTTGCCTTTCAGAGAGGCCAGGTCACCTGGATAGCGGAGATTGTCCCCCAGCTCTGTGTTCCCGTCCTAAATTGATGAAATGAAGCCATTGTCCAGTTTGCAGTGATCGGGGAATGCCAGCCAATCCCCCAGAGAAACGCTGACAGATGTCACTTGCTCTTGATGCTGAATCGGGAATTTCTCAGGAAGAGACACTTAGAATTCAGCACTTTTAACCTGGAGTCACGTCCCTGATAGGCAGACCACTGACTTAAGACTAAGTTAGTCCATTTAACCTGAGGCAGGGGCCCTTCTAAAACAAAGAGATAAAGGCCTTCCCAGAATAGAAAAAGAATGTGTTAAAGAAAAAGTGACATGGAGTAGTCAATGTCTAAGCGTGCATGAGTAATCCAGTTACAACCTTGTGCCATAAAATACCCCATCAAAAATGCAGGTTGCCATATATGGGTGGCAAAGGGACTAAAATGTAATTTAAGGCAATGCCCTGTTGCGTTCAGGGCTCAGCCTTTAGATGTGAATCTGCTGGGCCAGTGCTGGCACAAATAAACGCTGCTTCCTGGCAAAAAACCAAAACAAAACAGAAAAGCCTCAGTGTCTCATCTCTCTCTGTAAAGAATCCTGCCACAGCCCTAGGCTCACTGAACATCTTTAATATTTTCATTTTCTAGTATGTCTTGAAATAATTCAAAACTAAAAGCTGCAAAGTTCATACGAGTCATTTTATCTAAGGAATATTTCTTATTGTAAGCCATCAGTTTTCTATAACATGTGGAAATAAAAGAATATCATATAATGTTTTCTAAAAAAATCTGAGTATCATGACCATGTTATGATGCTGTGCTCCTCATCTGACTTCATTCTCTAAGATCTACAACTGGGGCAACTGTCATATTTTGCTGGGAAGGCATTTACCTTAACATTCATTAGTCCCTAAATTCTGATACACATGGGAAAAGTCAGGGAAGGAATGTCATTATTTTAGAAATCTTATTAGTACTGCATGTGACTGAAACATGCAACCTCTGTGAGGGAAAGTTCTTCAAAGCAGAACTTCTCACCATCTCCCTTTCCCTTACTTGTCATTATTACTACTCATGAGATGTCAAAATTGAAATACAGTCAACCATGAAATTCAGGAGCAATCTGAATTTGCCATCAGAAAACTTGAAAGTGTTTCTGACTTTTACTAAAGGTGTTGCCATGGGCTTCTTCTAATTTGAGGACTCTCTTACTGCACTTGACACAGAACTCCGTAGACAATAGGCTTATTTATACTCAGAAATGAGTATTAAGTAAATAAAGTGATTTTTACTTAATATTAGGTAAAACCCCTTAAAATCTGACATAAAAAATATGCGCCTGTATTGTGGGGGTTCATTGCAACTTGTTGGTAGATTTCTTTAAAAAAGTACTTTGTGCCAAAACTTTTGAGGAAAAACTTTATTTACATACCCTTCAGAAATTGGCTCTTAAGGAAATAGCTCTACTGTTTTCCAATTACAAAATAAAAATTGAAAAAAGGGCATACTTTCTCCACATTTATTGTATAAAATGAGTATTAGTTTTATATAAAATATTCTTGTGGTTTTGAGAGAGGAGGTAGCTAGAAAACTAGGTAGACAGACAGGGCGGTCCAAAATAACAAACAGAGGTGACAGGTAGTAAACACCTTGACAGATGGACAGGGTGGGTCCCTTGGTAACAGAGTAACAGAGTTCCTGCTGGTGAGATTGGAAAACAACCAATGAGCTTACAGCTAGTGCTGGCCAATTGGCTGGGTCTTATGGCTATATAAGCCTCCGGTTTCAGCTCCAAATTGACAACCCTCCTTGGGTCCCTTCCCACTCTGGTAGCTTTTCTGTCCTCTCAGTACATCCTGCTTTCTCAATTTCCCGTGGTCCATGTCCCTCATAATTCCTGGGCACGAGACAAGAACCCTGACCTGAAGAGCTGCAGAAGATTTGTGGGAGCTGGAGAAGCATGCACCACGGAGGTTGACTTGACAGTCAATGGAGCCAGCTGAACCAGAAGAGATGCTGGCAGAAGGTCAGACTGCCAAGCCGAGACCCTTCTGGGGACTGACTTGCCAGTCCATGAATTAGCAATACTCAGGGCTTGTTTTGCCAGTCAGTCAGAGCCAACACTCTTGGGGCTAGGCTTGCCAGCCCGTCAAGTCGACACTCACAGAGCTGACACTCTTGAAGCCGAGGCTGACCTGAAAAGTCTGTATCAGTTTTGGTATCATGCGTGAGGAAGGATGTTTTTGGAATCTGTAATATATTTTATTGTTTTAAAATGTGTTAGTGACTCCCTTTCAAGATCCAAAATATTTTTTACTAAAAGGATTCTGAAGGACAGAACAATGTGCTCTAAAAGTTTCATGTTTTATGGCCTTTTAAAATCCCAAACAATTTTTAATCATAATAAGTTTTAAGAGACAAAATCTGACAAACCCTAGAAGCTTGACATTTGGTGTCCTTTTGAAACTCAGCATTGTGAAATGAAGCTAAACCTTAGGAAATGTAATATGTTTCTCAGAAACAGTCACAGTAAACTTACTGCAACTGCCAGTAACAAATGATAATTGCAAATAACCTTTGTATAGTTTAGATTTCTTATCATATTCATTCAGCATTTTTTCATCTTACCGAAGTTTAAGCAAGACCCACATGGTTGCTTGAATTACTTTTATATACTGATCACATGTTAACTTGGACGTCTCCTGGTTACTATGACTGGCTCATACAGCATGATCAAATATCAAAATAACAGAATGAAACTATCATTTAAAGTGGAACTTGGTTGATACATGAGAACTTTCAAAACTGCATGTCAATTGACAACTTGAAAAACTAGTTATCTATGTAGACATGGTTATAATTTAATCATGTGAATTGTCTTTACAGTATACATTTTACTGTATAACATTTATTTGTCTATATTTGTAATGTCATTTTATTTTTGACAGTAACATTGCACATGGCAAAAAATTCAGATCTCTCTTAAGGATATACCCTACCTTCCCTTTCTATAGCAATCACCTTGGAGTCACCTATTTGTTGACATATCATGACTATTGTGAAAGACAAGGAATTTAAAATGATATCATTGAAATCAGAGTGGATAATTACAGCCCGATTGTATAGTGCCGGTTTTATAACCTGTGCATGCACGCATGGCCTTGTGGCAAGTTTAAAGTCAATCACATGACATGAGCAAAATCAGCACAGCTTCAGATGTTAAACAGCAGAAGGAAGATGCACAGATGTACAATGTATGTGTATGTATGCATAATGTGTATGCATATGTATATGTATTTATATATGCATGTGTATATTTATGTGTGTGTGTGTGTGTGTGTGTGTGTGTGTGTGTGTGTGTGTGTATCTCCAGCGTCTTGTTTGGCCCTTCTCCTATCTCCACCCAAACTGTAATTTTTTTACGCATGGAGCATGCAAAATAGAACTTTAAAAGCAAACCCTAAATGATATTTGGTTAAGATCTCTTTGTAGTCTCCTCCTGTAACAAAATACAGATATGATTTCATCACTCACTAAAACAATCCAGATTAGAAAAATCCAGGCCTCTGAGTATTCAGGAATTTTTTTTGTTTTCATAGAGAACACTGTTTACATTAGTTGCTACAAACATTTCCAGCTTCTTTCATGTTTACTAGAACTGAGATTATTTTTATATGAAAACAGAGTCACTTACAAAACAAATTTTTAGGTGTAGATTCATTGGTTTACATACTGTGACCGATATGTTGAAAATTTGAAGCAGTCAGTGGAGATTGGGTTGCAAGAATCAGATTTGTTCCCATCACTTTGTATATGCCTCCATTTATGCAATGCACTATTTTCACAATTACCTCTTGTTAAAGTCCTTCGGATGATTTCTGTAAAACTCTTGACATTTGTGAATTCTTTAATTTTCTCTTTCTTACTATCTCATCCATTCTTGTCACAAGTTGTTTATATTTGCATAGGTTAGCTAAAATAATTCTCCTGATAAATATGTGTCCAATATAGTAGGCCATGGGAAAGTTTCTAATTGTTTTTCATTAAAAGAACTCCCATGGTTTTAGTAAGTTTTCTGTAATGTTGAGAAGAAAGTTTTATAAATCACGTATTTGTTTATTTAATCACTTTCTATTTCTAAATGACAAGGGACACGATATTTTGGTCTTCTAAGTAATGGTTTTGATGGACTAATTGGATGTTAAATGAATTAATTAGACGTGTAAAATGTGTATCTTCTGAAGGATTTTCTAATGTATAAACATAACTTTCTCAATTTTAGACGAAAGATTCGTGTGTTCCTATCACTGTTGGAGGATTCCTGTGTGAGCAAAGGGAAGAAACTGGCATGAAATATGAGCTAGAGCCTTTTGTATCATGATGGGAGAGTGGATTGTTTTTTGTACAATTACCTTCAGGCAATAGGATAGACTTTTCTTTTCTTTCTTTCTTTTTTTTTTTTTTAAACTGAAATGTATGTACACTATGAGATCCAGGAATGGTAAAGGATCTTAAGAAGAAGCAATTTACTGAAACGCAGTTTGAAGCCATGTGTCATTATGTTAACAGCTAGGAAATTACAGGAGCCAACATACCATGCTGGCATCAGGATTGCCAATGTCAGTCAGAGATGGAGTGGCTTGGTTTCCAAAAACCTGAGCTGACCTTTAAATAAGAAGTCATGCTGACTCTATGTTTGTGGCAGTGTTCCAAGTAGCTAGGTGCTCTACAGGCAGCAGCAACAGTGGTAGTTTCAAAACCAACTATAATTTTGGGACACCACCCACAACGCTTTCACCATTTTCAAATATTTTTTGAAAAGGAAGTAACACCAAAACACACCAAACCCAGCTAAAAATCTCTATCACAGTTTTTAAATAGTGTAACCATGAGGTGTCTCAATTACAAAAACAGAAAAGTGTTTTGTTGGAATAGAATTACAAGGATCTGATAGTTTTAATTATTTGAAAATTGGGGTTATTAATTTAAGCAAGATTGTTTCTTTTTTATAGTACTAATCATTAGATTTAAAACAAAACAGAACAGGCCTACAACAAACATACTGGGGATAAAATTTCAAATCGTCTGTGGAGTAGAAAGGCCACAAGAGCTGAGTTTGTCTA